AATACTGGAGGAAATATAATTCATTACACATAAAAACCTTCTGAAACTCCAATAATACGTGTTTACAAAATAGCGAATGTTTTGGACCTTATCGGGGTCGTCCTCAGGCTACAGTTATGAGGAATTCAAATAAGTGAGAAATGGAATAAGAAACCGAATGAATGTGATTCATTTTTACACGAGCATAATGTTCTATTTTTTAATATTAACATTGCTGTTCTAAAATTTGAATCGCATTCATTCGGTTTCTTGTTCCATTTCGCACTTAATTGAATTCCTCATAACTGTAGCCTGAGGAAGACCCTGATAGGGTTGAAAATGTTTGCTGTTTTGTAAACATGTATTACTGGAGTTTCAGAAGGTTTTTGTGTGCGATGGATAATAATTTTATCATGGTTACTGTGTTTTATATTTTCAACTTTCATGTATGCTCTTATAGGAAGAGAGAATTTTTGAATCTGTTACTTGGAATAGAAACATCTAATTGTTGAATATGTATTGATATCATTATTTGGACTGATTAGTTTGAAGTATCTTCAATAGTTCTGTTTATAGAAATAAAAAAATTGCACAATATTAATCAGATAAGGTTGACCTTAAGGACAATTGAATTTCTAATTATTTTAGAAGAAATCATAGTCAAAATACTTCGGTATTGAATCAGTTTGAATTTGTGAAAGTACTATAATAAACTTGAGATTTTTATAGATAATAATTTGTTATTATTTTCAAATGCATTGAATGCTATCAAATTTCTGTCTATTTGTATGGTCAAAGTAGTATAATCATTTTCACGTTACCATAAGGAACGAGTTCAAATCCAAATCGAAGTTTCAGAAATTTTCATGGATAGTCTGAACCAGATAATTGCCATTCATTCAACTATATTACAGTTAATTCTGTTCACAATAGGCAAATTTTAGACCAACCACATAGTCCACAGTTATGTTGGTCACATATATAGATATCTCTCGTATAACACTGTAGTTACATTCCAAAAAAGCTCTGTGTTATGCAAATCCATGCTATATGAAACAAAAGACTAATGCAAAACATTCTAGAATTAGCAAAAGTATACTATTTTTTTTCACTACTAATATATGAGAAATATATGAAATAAGAAAAATATGTTTATTAAAGAAATTGATAATTTATTTCCAATCAATAATTAATTAACAATTAAATTAAAAGTACTGTATCACATGTTAATATTAATTTTAGTTAAATGAGGGCATTTTCTTTTTACAAAGTATCATCATCATCTCAGCTTTTTTGTCGATCTTGATCAGAAATTTCAGCAACATCTTCATTTTTTTTTATTTATCATAATTTTTTATGGATGACAAAATAAAAATATGTTATTAATTGAAAATTTGTTCTAGCAGATTGTACTTGTTCAATTGAGTTCCAAGCAACTTGTTTCCATAATTTGTGTTCAAATACCGGATTGTTCGAGTACCGAGATACTGCCATATTTTATCTGTCATTTTATGAATGATTGCTTACCTAAAGTTAAAAAAAAAAGTTTAATAGCACTTATTTTAAAATGTTTAAATAAACTGTACTAAATACAAAGATTAATCTATAAAAAGAAAACACAATGACAGTCTTAAGGGCTAAAATCTGAATGCAGTGACAACACCTGGTTGATAGGAAAGTTAATGCAATTTTTTCCTTCCTTGCACTATTAGTTTTTATTAAAGTAAACCTGATGAAAAGCACCAAATAATTTGAAAATTTTAATATTCTAAAATTCATGGGCAAATTTGAGACAACACGTGTGCTTACTCGAATAAAAAAAAATATCAAATAACAGTTTGTACTTAAAAATTGTGAAATTTTGTACAGAAGATTTCCAAAACAATGTTAGAGTGAAACCAGAAGTCATATTGTATGGAGAATATTCCCAATTTTCAAACCATGTTAGAGCAAAACCATGTTGTACAAGGGATACCTGTATATGTTGATATCTTGTCTTGTGTCAACTATCAATTTCTAAATTTTGTTTAAAGGCTTTTTATGTAAATTACTATTCTTCAAAATTTTGATATATATTTATTTTTTTTTATATTTACAATATTATTTGTTAAAATTTTTCAAAATATATAAATGACTAAATTTTTGTAACAGTTTTATTAAGATAATACATATTAAAAAAAATCATTCTTTAATAAGTAGTAATAAATATTTAATAGAACTATAATCAATTCCCTGTAATAAGTTTTTCCATTAAATTTATTTTTAATTTATTAACAATTTTTATGTTGTTTTGATAATATTTTTGCAGCTGAAAGTAAAATAATTTAAGTTGATTGTGCCATTATATACAGAATAGGTGTTTATCATACCAGTGTAGTTCTTCAGCATATAAGTTACTTTAGTAATTTAACTAGCTTAAGATTTGGCCAGTTCAGATAATCATAAATAATGAATAATTTCAGTAGAATTTGTTTATTGTAATCACTTTGGGACTTGGTTATACTGATAACAATGACTGAATAACATTAAGTGGGGGTGAGTAAATAAGATTTCATTTAGTTTAGTACAAATTGTTTTTATTGACTAGCACTAAGAGGACAACATAAAGACCGTTATCAAATGCATAATTTGAGAAATTACTAATTATAATTAGTGGAACTGTGAGGTAAGGGACCACTGGTTTTAGTTCATTTTATCCATGTACCAAAGTTCATTTTAACCGTGTATCAAAAGAACAATTAAAAGGCATTGAAAAAAATGCAATAATTTACTCAATATTCAGCAGAATTGCATTTATGAAGCATTTTTATTGTCCTTTATGACTATCTAATTTTGTACAACTTTGAAAATATCTCTAATTGACTTTTGTTTGTAAAAAAGTGTTAAATGAGATTTTCATTTAGCACTTTAATATTGTTTGATATATATTGAAAGATATATTCTCAAAGTTTTCATTTTTCTTGAAGTTTGGCAAGTCCCCATATTTGTATTATTTCCAGTGCCTTCTTGGTCTCTTCAGTACTCAGAATAGGAGCAATTACTTTGCACTCATAACTTTCTTTTTCTTTATCCTCTTCATCTTCCTCCTTTTTTCTTCTGGGACAATGACAAATTGCAAAATTTTTTCATCTGTAAGAACTCCTTCTTTAGTAAGATCTTTATTAACACTGTGAATGCAACTGAAAGGGTGAAACTTCTAGAAACAAAAGGGTGAAAATTTCTAGGTTAATGAGGAATGTGAATCATTGGCTATGTTAATGTCAGTAACTAAACAACAAATGTTTTCTAGGAAAAGGAGCAGCATGTGGTTTACCAGGTGTTTTGGAGATCCCTGGAGGCAGTTTGCTGTAATCGAGATCTCTCAAATAGAGGTTCAGAATAATTTGGTTCAATAAAACCAAGGTTCAACAATATTAAACAATTGAATAAAAAAGTAAAAAATTATTGGGATTAATTACAGGTGTAATCAGTTGACATTATTCTATTTAAAATTGCCACTTCTTGATCAGTTCATATAAAATATTTGAAACATAAATGCTACTTGGACTGTTCAAAGAATTATATGAGAACTACAGTCCAGAATTTACATATTTGTGTAAAGTGCAATAAACAACAGTGCAACAAACATTACATAATCTTATTACTGTTTTCTATGTAGTATGAAATCAATATTTGCCAGCATAAATATATATTAGATTTTCAACCATACTAACTTTTCAAAATATTTAGAATTAAACATGATCACAAATTGAGAAATTAACAATGTACCCAGAACCAATAACCAGTGTGAACAGAAAAATCAAAAAACTAATGCAAATGTTTTCAAACTCCACTAGAGTTCTTCTTTGGGTGTTATAACAGTTACCCAATAGAATGTCGTGAAAGTTTTTTGGAATATAAAAATTTTGAATTACAAATACAAAAATTTAAAAATCCAAATTTCACCTGCATATTCAGTTGCCCAACAGAAACTCAACGAATGGTTAAACCGTGTTGTCAATCAAAGCTTGCCAAGCCATTGACAAAACCATTTCCTCTTTGTAATTTGTGCACAATGATTTAAAATTATATTTAAATATCTTGCACAACCTCCAACCATCTGAGGTGTTCTGTGTGGGGAAAAGCGAGGCTGAGTTTGGTTCATTTGTTTTTTCTGTTCACACTGGTTGTCGGTTCTGGGTACATTATTACTATATCCTGGTGGTGTGTTGTGGTTTACTGTTTACATACTTTAGTAATTGAGAAATTTTTATAAAAGTTTTTTATTAGAAATCTTTTATGATAAATTCAAGTAATCATAGAAAAATAATGATAATTTATATATGCTCAAAATTTTATATCTGAATATATAAAATTACTTGTCCTGACTGACTGAATGAATGATTCATCATCACTCAGAGCAAACTGCTGAACCTAGAGGTGAAATTTGATACACAGTTAGGGTATGTCATGAAAATGCATACTAAGAAGGGATTTTTCAAAATTCCTCTGCAGGGGGCGAGGGATAGGATTATGGCTAAACCTGAACAACGGCTTTTACTGTACTATTTTAGATGCGATTTTTTGTTTTCAACTACATTTAGTCTTCATTGAGTATTTAGGTGTATTAAATTGATAACATTTCAGACATTGTTATAAATATTTTTATCTATTTTGATTTTAAAAATGTTCGAACCATTTTACATTCAAATTTGTTATTGCATATTGGTTTGATTATAGAATGATTGTAAACATTCCAGAAAATTGATGAAATTGAAAATAGTTCATTTGATTTTCGGCAATTCTCATCATTTTTAGCAGTAGGTGTTATATAATTATATAACAATTACTATGGTTGTTGAAATACTGAATATAAATTGGATTTGCTTGCAAAATCTGCACGGGCAAAATCACGTGTAACAGCTAGTATATTATAAAATAACTTATTGATTTTTATTTTAGCAAATGTTTTTATGAATGTTTGTACTGTGATTATTTTAAGTTTGAAAGTAAAAACAAAAAACATTTTTTTTTATTTTTAGTTGAACAACATTATAATTATAATAGACATAGGAACCGTTTAGTCAGAACAGATATGCAAGAAGCAAAAACAGTTCAACAAATCGAAGATGAAGAAGCTGATCTCCAACAGAAATATGAACAAATGCTGCTAGAGCAACAGTAAACATACTTTTTAGAAATTAAAAAAATTTTTTTTTAATAATTCTTTTGTAAGCAAAATACTTTTTCTTATGCAGAGAACGAGATGATGAACTTATTGCTCAGAAACTACAAGAACAATTGACCAAAGAAGACATCGAAAAACAAAAACATGTTGAGCAGGAAGATGAGGTAACTTTCAATTTTCAGCATAATAACAATTTGAAAGATTAAGATTTAATAATGCATACTTATATCATTTTAAATTATATTAATATTAAAAGGAAAATATCAAATGTAATTCTATTATTATTAAATTAAAATCAGTACTTCCATATTTCTTGCATATTGAATACTTCAATAGTGAATAAACTGAAAATTTGTATATTTGACTTTTTATATTTGGTTATTAAATTTGAAATTATTCAAGGCCAAAATATTATTAAAATGAAAACTTTACATTAAATTATAAAATTTAAGAATATATAGTGCAGGCACAAACATTGCACCATTTTTTAAAAAATATTTTCTACTTTTTACAATAAGCTAATTATATATAATATAATATATATAGATATAAAATAATTTGAACTGAATTTAGATAATTAAGTCACCATCTTGTATTAAGTTTATCTGCATAATAGCAGGAGTTGCTGGTTCAAGCCCACTTTGGATTGAGCCTTTCTTTCAGAATATTCTAAATTAATTGATTTAATCTTAATTATTAAATTTAACAGAGGATGGCAACTTAGCCTACCATTTAGTCTAAATTATTTAATATTTATATATTACTTTCCCGGCTGTTATATATAACAAAGGGAAAGTATGGCAATTTGTCAAGAAATAATCCCCATATTTTTAGCAAGTTATGACCTGATGAACCTGGTGTTATCATTTGATTAATTAGGACCACTGAGTTATTTTATTACGATATCAGGTTTATATTTGAATTAATTCTTGTGAAAATTGTCTTTCAGAGTTAAATTACTTTAATATTGAAGAACAATAAAAAATAATAAAATTTACAAAATTTTTTGTTGGCAATTGCCTTCAATAAAACAATCTTATCTTTAAAGCAATCCACATAACAAATAATTTAAAAATAGATAATGCTATTCTAAATTGCTATAGATTTTGGTTTAAAGTAAATAAATATTTAAAGATATTCAATAAACATATTCTTATTATCAGACAAAGATAAACATCTAACATCTTGAATAAATAAACATATCAAAATATACAATATTAATTTCATGAATTCCCAGCAGAATAATTTATATTTTTATTTTAGAAGATAATAAAGGACTTATTGTAGATGGCATCCCTCCCACAACGTGGGTCTATTTTTATAATCACTAATGAATATCTATAAGGCTTTATTTTCCCCTCTTTTTTTTTTACTGTTGGCCATAAGTTGATTCCCAATTTTGAAATCCTTGCTTTTCTTAATTTTGAAAAAAAAATTAGGACCCAAATATAAGTAAGTTGACCTTTTCATTATTAATTCTATATTCATATAAAAATTAGCAATTTGCAGTAAAAAAAATTTGAAAAGTTATTGAAATAATATTTCAGAACTTTTATTGTCATTATTCCTATTTCTTATTTCATTAATTTGATTCCAGATATTTGTAAACAAAATCGGCATAAATGAATTTTTGATTACTTTCTTAGTAATTTTTATGAATTGTATTTAAATTATACCTAATTGCACTCAAAGGGTTTGTTTTATAGAAAGAAATATATGCATCAGATACCTAAATTATAAGTTACAAATTGTAGCTTATTTGCTTCTTTGTCAATATAAATAAAAATGAAATTAATAAAAGTTACAGATAAAAATTGAAACAATGTCTTATACACCTGATGATAGGCTGATCAGCATATAACATTACACCATAGAAGTAGGCTTCGTTGTATATTTCATGTGTTTTCTGGAAAGTGTATTTCCAGTTTTATGACTATCAAGAATGAAACTGCAACTTTGTTTCACTTTCTTCTGTCCTATTTTTTCTGTAACTGTCTAAAATGTGTAATTATAAATTTACAAGTATATATTTCATATGATTATAATAGAAATTTATACCTTACAACAAAATAAATTTTCAGCAACCTTCTCCAATTTTTGACAATCACTCAATTAGTGAAGACTCCTAGGAATGAAATAAAGTTACCAAAATAAAATTTTCGTAGAACTTATCAAACTTGACCAATTCTATTAAATATGATGAATCAAAGCCAATTGTTTTTATCATTCAAAAACAATTGACTAATCAGTTACAATTGTACGTAATTTGCATGCATGGTTTGCAGGCTGCAGCAGAATATGTCATAAATTGGCTGACTTTTAGTATCACTAAACAATTGACACACCAAATTTTAGTGTCAGTTTAAATTCTGCACAATATTTACTGCTGATAGTTATCTAAATTAAAGAAAAACTTTAGATTTTTCCCTCCTTTGTAAAGAGGGAGAAAACATTGACTAATGTTTGGACCAATACAGTATTTACAGTGACTCTTGAATAACAATAATAATTTATTTATTATTTTCAATAAGTTCAGTTCTATTATATAAAACTTACATATTTAAATATATAAGTATATTGATGAATTGTGATTTGGATATTTTGTTATATTTTAGTAAATCAAATTTGATAAATTTCTTTTGTAGAGATTAGCAAGGCAGCTTCAGGAAAAAGAAAAACATAGGTTAGAAAGAAAAAGACTAGAATGGGAACTTCGACAAGTCGAAAAAGCTCGTTGTCAACAATCACCTACTAACATAAATAGGGAAAATGGTAAATATTTTATAAAATTATATATGTAAGTCTAGTTCAGATTTTAGCAAAGTAGTTTAAAAACTAAAAAATTTAAGCTTTAATATTATTAAATTCTTCATTGATAAATAAAAAAGTAGTAGTACTAATTGTCAGAGATTATGAATGATAATCATAATTATATTTGTATTTGTTATATTTGTGATAAAATTCAATGTTTCAATGTTCAAATTCAAAGTTTTTTTCTTGGAGTCCATACTTGTACAGGTAACCAAAAAAGTTCTGTCATTTTTTGTTGAAAGAAAACAAGCATAAAAATGTATAGCAAGTAACACAATTTATTCATCAAAATAACCACCCTCACATTCAATAACCTGTTCCCAATGGGAAACAAGCTTATAAATTCCATTTTTATAAAAGTCNAAATAGACAAATCACTATATTGATTTTTATTAGTGATAAAATTCAATGTTTCAATGTTCAAATTCAAAGTTTTTTTCTTGGAGTCCATACTTGTACAGGTAACCAAAAAAGTTCTGTCATTTTTTGTTGAAAGAAAACAAGCATAAAAATGTATAGCAAGTAACACAATTTATTCATCAAAATAACCACCCTCACATTCAATAACCTGTTCCCAATGGGAAACAAGCTTATAAATTCCATTTTTATAAAAGTCACGATTTTTAGAGTTGAAAAACTTCCCTAATTCCGTTTCTATAACCTCTCTATTTCTAAACTGTCAANTAATAAACTGTGTAATGTGATATATGTAATGCTTTCTTAAAGTTAATTTATAAATCCTTTGATAACCTAGCAATTATATTCTAAATTTAAATTTAGGAAGAATATTAAAATTTATTTTTTTACACTAAAATTACTGTTTTCTTCATTGACATATACAATATTATTTTTAGTTTGATATACAGATTTGTTATTTTCTATGCCACTTTTGATTTTGTTATAAAAAATATTTTGATAATTTTAAGATTTTTTTCATAAATTATTAATACTGGACTAATTTTTATTTATTTTTCTACCTTTTAATCAATCACTAGACTATTTTAACTAATATGATTTCCAAATTTTTATTTACAAATCATATGCTGTTTATAGGGCCTTATTACTGTCTTGAAAATTAAGTTAGAAACACAAATTTAAAAAGCAAGTGAGTTTAATTTTATGTTTGATGTTAGCTCTTAATTTTTATTCTACACTCATTGAACTTTATACTTTTTTTCTTTTTAATTTTAACTGAAATTTTTGATTTTATTAGGAAATCAACACCTAATATTGAAATGTTCTAAACATGTCCATAGAAAAGTTCAGCATGCTTGCTGCTTAGTCTTCATAATAAACTAAGAGAAGAAAAAACTATGTAAAAGAATTCAGTCTAATTTTTATGAAATTTATGAAAACATAGTTTTATTCAGACCATTTTGTGAATGCATGTCAAAGAAGATTTCTGGATTTTTTAAAAATATCAATAATGAGTTGTTTAACTTTCCTGGCAACGTTTAAAACTGCATGTGTGGTGCCATCTGTTATGATATTTTATTATTAAAACCTTTTTATAATTTTATTTATAAAATGGCAAAAAGCTTAATGTTGAAGATAGGGATGGGTTTTATAAAAAATTGTAAATGCTAATAATGAGTAAAATTGTCATTAAGTCCAATCCTACTGGAGATACACATGACCCCCCTTTATCTCCCTCAAACAGGGTGAACAAAATTGTCCCGCTCCACACTAACATCCATACATACAGAAAAACCCTTGAATTTTTTTCATTTCTTGATGTTTCATGGTCCTGAGTCCAAAAATGTAAAAATCTTAGGGGGGGTCATTTGTCAGATTGCCATACTTTTCCTCTGTTATATATAACAGCTGAGAAAGTAAAAATGAAGAAACAATGTAAAATACTAATTCATATTTCTCTACATGTAGGATTGAATGATACTGTAAAAGCATTTATAGAAATTATAGAATGCTGTAAAAAATTTTTGTATTTCTATTTATTTTCTTGCGTTATTATCAATAATTTTAACAGATGATAGTAGAATTCTATTTCATTGGCTGTTAATCAGAAAACATTTCTGATTAAATACTTTTGGTAACCTCACTTCAGCAGTTTGTTTTATTTTTGTTATAATAGTGCTAAGTTTCATGGACTTTCATGAAAATTGAAGAACATGTAGAAGATACATTTAAAGTGGTATTGAGCAATAAACTATATGAGCACCAGATTTTTTAAATAGCATTTATATTAATTGCAATCTTGTTTTATTAATATTTTATCACTAATTTACTTATTTAGTTGAAAAATAATTGGATTTTCTACATTGTTATCTGTTAAATTTAGTTATACATGTCATAGTGTATAAAGCAACTGTTTGTTTGTAACCATATTAATTTCTTGGTGATCAGAAAACAATGGTTTAAGCAAATATTTTATATAGTGAATTATGTTTTTAGATACTAGTTGAGTGTATTAAGTTAATGTTGTAAGACATTATAACTTTTTCCCATTTAAAATAATAGAAAAAAGTTTCTGGTTAATGTTTCACACAGAATATATAGTTTTAGGAAGGGATTACTGATATTAAATGGAGTATATCTGTATATATTAAAACCTATAAATAAATTTCCTTTATTAGTTTAATAAAGATTTGAATAGTAACAGTTTATAACAAATGAAAAACTTTTAATTTAAAATTTATTTATTTTTAGAATGCTCCACAAGAAATGAAGTTGAAACTGTCAGTAAATCATTTGCTAAAACACAAATTACTCCACCTGTGGATTTGCTTGCCAAAGAGGATAAAGACTCAGATCTCTCAGATTTCTGTTTAAAACCCCCACCAGGTCTCACAGATGATGAAATGAAGAAGTTTCAAGAAGAACAAGATGCAGTAAGTTTTTTTAAATGTTATCAATTTGTATTTTTTTTGTTAATAAAATAAAACAAAAAAGAAGTTAAGTTTAATTTACTAAAATGCAAATTAACTAAAAAACTTGTAAGAACCTAATTTTGGTGCAAACTTAATTCAAAAAAGTTATATGAAGATGAAATGATTTAAAGCAATTTAGTGTCATTGTCTTATTTTAAATATTAAATCTTGGTAAGTGTAATATATGTATGTAGTTGTGTGCTATGTAAGATAATTATATATTTATATAGACAGATAATTATTCTGTAGAAATATATTAAAATTCAGAGGTACATTTTCAATGAATGCATAATTAATTCATCAGTTAAACAACAGTTTTTGACTTACATTTTAATTTAAAAATTTTTCTACATAAAAACATAACATAAATAAAATAAATTTTAAATTGAATGAAATTTGTTATTGCAAAATTTGCATTGCTATAAGTGAAAATAGTCTGTTACTGTCATTTCATTTCCAGTTCCAAAGAATTCTTAAGTTCTTTCAAATTTATATACAATTTTAGAAAACTATATGAATATGAATCCCCATAAAATATACTAAGACTGAGCCATAATAAGGCAAAATATTCCAATGTAAGAGATCAGACATCATTTAGATCAACAAACAAAACAAAATCACATATGTCATAGACATAGCTGTTCCAAATACCCACAACATAAAAAATACACTGAAAAAATTACCAGTATTAAATGCTTTATTTCATGAGTGAGTTCCATCTGTTGAGAATGAATATGGTAAGTACTTATTATTTATCATGCCTGCAGTTCTTACTTGTACAGGTCATACCATATACTCTACATATGTATAAAAACATTAGAACTTTACAACAGCACATCACATTAATACTAGACTCATGACATATAGGAAATTCCTAAATACAGATATATATATGAACAGAATATAACCACAGTAACAAGTTTTCTGTATCTATGTCTTGATCTTGATGCAGCATAGCTCTGCACACTGGTATTAACTGACAGGATGGAATTCAAATACACAACAGACCACAGTCCAACAGAATTGGAATGTGGTCTGTGTGGTTTTGCCAAGAATACTATGTTAAGAAAGTTGCACATAGACTACAATATTCAAAGTTCCTATTTACTGTAGAGAATTAACATGTACTAAAATTGATTCAGTAAGCTAATAGGCTTCTAACTAGCTTACTGAAAGTACTTACATAAAAAGTAGAAATTACTTGAAATTTACTAGCTTTTGAGATAAAAGTTTAATTATTTGTGTCTAACATTAATTAAAATAAAGATTGACATACAGAAAAAGAAATGACACGAGATATAAAAATGTGTCTTTGATAGTTTCCAGAAAATTTGAATGATAGATGAATTTACATAATGAGTAAAACTTTTTACAATTATTAAAGGTATTTTTCAAAAAATTTAGATACAAAAAAATGTTGGATGACCTCATAATTGCTAAAATCATCAGATAATTACCAGCAGCAATATATAACTTATATTCTCTTTCAAATTGAGTATAAAACACATATAACCCATAGGTTATTTGTGGGAAATTTTGGCAAACAAATTTATACAGAAATATCAATGCAATTTTATCAACTGAGAAAATTTAAATAAAAATTTTTAGTTTTTATTCAAAAATGATTGTTACTAGTAATTTTAAATTTAAATTTTTTATTTTCAATACCTTCTTTAAAAATTTTGATTTTGTAGGGATGCTACTGTTTAAATATCTATTTTTTTAAGTTCAAATATATTTTAAAATTAATAACAAAAATGTATAATTTTTCACATAGGAATTGGCCAGGCTTTTGCAAGAACAAGAAACAAAAGTAAGTACTTGCTTTTTGAACCAACGTAATAATTATAGATGTTATTGACTTACATATATTTAATTGTTAATGTTTTTGTCAATGTGGTCTAATAAGGACAAAACTTAATTATTTTCAATGGAAAGTAATTTTAACAAAGTTGTAAACGTATGTAAAAATAATTTATGGTGATTTTTTATTCTTGTCTCTAAAAAAGTTGGTTTGAATTAAATTCAGATCATTTTATCTTCTGTTAAATGAAAGAGTGACATGATTTTTCATTAATATAATCATTTTTTAACACACGAATGCAATTACAGTAGAGCATTGATTATCCAAAACAACAATTCGGGACTGGGGTTGTTCGGATAATCGATTTTTTGGATAACTGATTAATATATTTTTTTGTACATAATCTATCCCATGTTGAAATTCGTTCAAATCCTGGTGCGTCCTTAAGTACACGCTCATGGTCGCATCAGTGCTACCAGCTAAAACACGCACACCAACAAAAATAATATTGGGGTAGCCCAAGACATAGCCAAATATTGCAGCGCCATAGCACTAGCAGAAATTTAAATTTGCCAACTGGAACGCTTTCAGTTGATCAATATTTGGATAATCGATGCTCTACTGTACTGTACTTCATTTTTAAATATGAAGATTTTTTAAAATAAGGAAAACATTATTATTAAATTCAGAAAATGATGTAGGTTTTAAGTAGAGATAATGCACCTAAAAATTTCTTTAGGTAATTATTATTTTCTGGTTTAAAAACAGTTTTAAGCTTATCAGTTTTAATTTAATAGTATACAAAATTTTTATAGTAATTATTTGTACCACAATATTTAAAAAAACTAACATGTGCTTAAATCCTTGTAACACGACTCTATGTATTAGATCAACAGTACTTACTTGTAACACAATTGGGTGCAGGAAAGATCTTTAACTTGGAAAATGGTTTGGAAAAACATATTTTCAGTTAAAAATCTTTTCTGGACCCCTTTGTGTTGCAAGTGAGTAAATGTTACTTTTAAAAAATAAAGCTTTATAAGTCCAACTAGTATGTCACAATGTTTAATTTTTTTGATTCAGAGAAATCATACATTTAATTCCTAATAAAAAGTTAAGTATTATAGTAGTAATAAAAAATACAATGATACTCACTCATTTGAAATTCATATATACCAACAATAAAGTTGAATCTAATTTTAAGTATTTTTAAATACAGTGTAACCTCCATTAACAGACACTCCCACATAGTGGACACCTCTACTTAATGGAATTTTTACAATTCCTAGACCTTCCAAATAGAGCATCTATAATATTTACCTCTAAATAATAGACACCATCATCCATAATCTACCTTATGAAAACACAAAGTCCCGCCTTCAATATTCTGAAAGAATTTATTACATAGAAAATATTTTAAAATTAAAACAAAGAATCAGTTCAAATAAACTTCATAGGATGAATTTTGACTGTAGGTGCCAAACAAAGATTGACTTAAAATAGGAATAGGGGAGGAGGGCAGGTTATAAAAAGTTAAATATTTTTTATCTGTTAGAGAAGACTAATCTGGTTAAGTTGTCAATTACCATTCATCATCACACATATTAATGCTATTAAACTTCTGTCTTATTGTTGGAATTAAGCTTATAAATGCTATTGTCTTAACCTTAAAGCTGTTTCTTTTTCATAACTACTGTGCTATGGTTCTTGTTGAATGAATGAATAACTTTGAGAAAGTTTATGGTTTCTTGGTACCATAAGCTTAACTCCAATAATAAGTTTGGAATTACCAAGCTTTCACCAATTGGAAATTAATTTCCAATTGGCAAAAGTTTAAAGAGTTCAAAGATTGTAATTATGAAGACAATTTGCTGACCACTTTAAAGGGTAGGAAGATATAGTTTTCTTGCATATATGACATCATTTATGATCTTAACAGCTTTGTGGTAGCTAAAGTTATTTTTAATAAGTCATTTATTGAAAAAAACAAAAATGTTTGAAAAATGACACCTATTTGATAACTACAAAATAGACAAATCACTATATTGATTTTTATTAGTTGCTTAGATTGTAAATGACATTATAAATGCAAGAATACCAAATACATTTCTTACCCCTTGAAGTGGCTAGCAAATCATCTTTGTAACTCAACATTCAAACTCTCGTCACCTAAACAGACCTTCGTTCATACTTCTGTTCATAATAACAGTTTCAGTTTTCTTTTTTGTTACTTCCACTCAGGTCATTTTTGATGAATTAATAATTAATGTGATTTCTACAGCTGAAAATGAAAAGATAAATAATATACTTAGTATATATAATTAAAATATATATAATGTACACTTTTTGGTATTTTCACATTCCTAACACAAATTTGATGTGTTTGCAATTCAGTGTATTCTTCACTTTAGAATGACCAGGTTAAAATACAATATGGCTGCCAGCATGTACCTTCAAATAGCGGACAAACTTCTTAGTCTTGATGGTCTCTGCTATTTGGAGATTATATAAAAAGATAATTCAAACAATTAGATAAGATTATGTATGAAATAGTTATGTATAAATTGAAGAGATATTTATCACAATAAATTTTATAAAACTATGTATATTGAAATAATTTTTCTGACCTACAAAATATTTTTATATAGAGACGTGGACCAAATTTTAAAGACAGACAGCTTGCTATTGAAGCACAAGATAGAGAATTAGCAAGAGTGTTACAAGAGCAAGAAAGAGCAAAAGCAAAGAAAGCCAGGGAGAAGGCCCGACAAAAAGCAATGTTACAGCAACAGCAACAACAGCAAGAGATGGTAAGCACAAATGAAATAAAAATTTAATAATTTTTTTACTAATTATGGATTGATGATTTTACTTTTATAGGAAACAATTGAAGAAGTTAGCAGCACTTCTCCAGATTCGAAAGATGGACTTGATCATCCAAATTTAGACCATAGACTTCATCAGGAAATGGATAGGAGGTATTATGAAAATTATTTATATTTAAATGTGCATAATATCATGATAGTGTTCAGAATCATTGTACATAGCTATCACTATACAATGATTTTGTAAATTATGCTAATTAATCATTTTTTCTTAAATTGAACAAATTTTAATTGCATTACATTTAAATATATTATAATCTAGAGTTAAGTTGTATTAATTTACAGTTTGATTTTCCAGAAATTTCAATTTATTATGTTGCAAAATAAAAGTCTGGTTTTTAAAAATTTTCATATTTAAAATAATGATAAGGCATTAAACAATAAATCATTTGATGCCTAATTGCTATATTAAATATAAATTTTGTATGATTGTAGTAGGAAAAAAAGTATAGTCATTATCGTATTCATGAACAAAATGACTGACTAAGCTATATAAGTCTGCAAGATTGTAAATATTTGGTTTTTCTAAAATGCATGTTTTTGTGAAACTTTTCTAATATCTGTAATATATCATTATATTATGTTTCCTTTACTAATTTAATAATTATGTGAAGTGCAAATATAAGCAATAATAATTATTTGATGTTTACATATTTATAAATGTAAACATCAAATAATTGTCATTTTTTATTTACATTTCTTATTTAGTTCTGTCATTTAATTTGTCTGTGTTTTTTACTGTTAATTATACAAGAGTTTTCTGTATCCTCCTATCTGATTAAGTGGGATAAATTTTCATATAAAGTCTACATATCTGAATCCTTTTAGAAATGCTTTTCTCTAGGTTCTAGCTTACCCTTAGTAAACAAATTTAATGTATTCTCTTTAATTTTTTTGCACGATTTATCATTCAACAAGTAAAGAAATACACTACAGTCCAGTCTATTAAAAAGTTATTTATACCGAATTAGAAACTATTACATATTATATATATAAAATTATATTATAAACTTAAATTTGCTGGATATATATTGCTTAATATGTAAGATGTTACATAATAAGAGAGAAAACACTAGGCTGAAAAAATTTACAATCAAAAAATAATTTAAGACAGCATTTGAAAGCTGCAAATTTAAAGCTCATAATATGATAAAAATGAACTGAGTTATGAGAATATAATTTAGAATATTTTAAGTTAAATGTTCTTTTTTAATTAAAAAGTTTTCTTCATTTGTTAAATAATAAACAAATAAATTTCATAAAATACTATTTGCTTTTTGATATGTAACAACAATCAACCTTGCTTGCATAATTATGTAAATAATTTAATGTTTCTTGGAAAGTTGCTTTACAAACTAATAAGAAAAAAATTAAGCATTTTCATTTTTCCAATAATTACTTCTTATACTATTTTTTATTAGTATTACCTTGTATGCTTTGTTTAATTATGTTTTTCAACACTGTTGTGGAAGTGAAGATTGACTAATTTTGTAATGTGATTTTCTGATAGAAATTTCCAAGTTTTTATTTGGATATATATGTACACAACAGTAGAAGATGGAACAGTAATCTAATTGTTATAGCTGATTAATTTAATAAGGCAAATTTGTTGTCTGTCACACATTATTAGAGTGTACATTATTGCTTAGAGAGCTGTATAATATAATAAAAACTAATTGTTAAATTAAATAGTTATCTTTAAATAATTTATTAAAATTATTTAAGATAACTATTTAATTTCTTGTCCTTAAGTACNAAATAAATATTTAAAGATATTCAATAAACATATTCTTATTATCAGACAAAGATAAACATCTAACATCTTGAATAAATAAACATATCAAAATATACAATATTAATTTCATGAATTCCCAGCAGAATAATTTATATTTTTATTTTAGAAGATAATAAAGGACTTATTGTAGATGGCATCCCTCCCACAACGTGGGTCTATTTTTATAATCACTAATGAATATCTATAAGGCTTTATTTTCCCCTCTTTTTTTTTTACTGTTGGCCATAAGTTGATTCCCAATTTTGAAATCCTTGCTTTTCTTAATTTTGAAAAAAAAATTAGGACCCAAATATAAGTAAGTTGACCTTTTCATTATTAATTCTATATTCATATAAAAATTAGCAATTTGCAGTAAAAAAAATTTGAAAAGTTATTGAAATAATATTTCAGAACTTTTATTGTCATTATTCCTATTTCTTATTTCATTAATTTGATTCCAGATATTTGTAAACAAAATCGGCATAAATGAATTTTTGATTACTTTCTTAGTAATTTTTATGAATTGTATTTAAATTATACCTAATTGCACTCAAAGGGTTTGTTTTATAGAAAGAAATATATGCATCAGATACCTAAATTATAAGTTACAAATTGTAGCTTATTTGCTTCTTTGTCAATATAAATAAAAATGAAATTAATAAAAGTTACAGATAAAAATTGAAACAATGTCTTATACACCTGATGATAGGCTGATCAGCATATAACATTACACCATAGAAGTAGGCTTCGTTGTATATTTCATGTGTTTTCTGGAAAGTGTATTTCCAGTTTTATGACTATCAAGAATGAAACTGCAACTTTGTTTCACTTTCTTCTGTCCTATTTTTTCTGTAACTGTCTAAAATGTGTAATTATAAATTTACAAGTATATATTTCATATGATTATAATAGAAATTTATACCTTACAACAAAATAAATTTTCAGCAACCTTCTCCAATTTTTGACAATCACTCAATTAGTGAAGACTCCTAGGAATGAAATAAAGTTACCAAAATAAAATTTTCGTAGAACTTATCAAACTTGACCAATTCTATTAAATATGATGAATCAAAGCCAATTGTTTTTATCATTCAAAAACAATTGACTAATCAGTTACAATTGTACGTAATTTGCATGCATGGTTTGCAGGCTGCAGCAGAATATGTCATAAATTGGCTGACTTTTAGTATCACTAAACAATTGACACACCAAATTTTAGTGTCAGTTTAAATTCTGCACAATATTTACTGCTGATAGTTATCTAAATTAAAGAAAAACTTTAGATTTTTCCCTCCTTTGTAAAGAGGGAGAAAACATTGACTAATGTTTGGACCAATACAGTATTTACAGTGACTCTTGAATAACAATAATAATTTATTTATTATTTTCAATAAGTTCAGTTCTATTATATAAAACTTACATATTTAAATATATAAGTATATTGATGAATTGTGATTTGGATATTTTGTTATATTTTAGTAAATCAAATTTGATAAATTTCTTTTGTAGAGATTAGCAAGGCAGCTTCAGGAAAAAGAAAAACATAGGTTAGAAAGAAAAAGACTAGAATGGGAACTTCGACAAGTCGAAAAAGCTCGTTGTCAACAATCACCTACTAACATAAATAGGGAAAATGGTAAATATTTTATAAAATTATATATGTAAGTCTAGTTCAGATTTTAGCAAAGTAGTTTAAAAACTAAAAAATTTAAGCTTTAATATTATTAAATTCTTCATTGATAAATAAAAAAGTAGTAGTACTAATTGTCAGAGATTATGAATGATAATCATAATTATATTTGTATTTGTTATATTTGTGATAAAATTCAATGTTTCAATGTTCAAATTCAAAGTTTTTTTCTTGGAGTCCATACTTGTACAGGTAACCAAAAAAGTTCTGTCATTTTTTGTTGAAAGAAAACAAGCATAAAAATGTATAGCAAGTAACACAATTTATTCATCAAAATAACCACCCTCACATTCAATAACCTGTTCCCAATGGGAAACAAGCTTATAAATTCCATTTTTATAAAAGTCACGATTTTTAGAGTTGAAAAACTTCCCTAATTCCATTTCTATAACCTCTCTATTTCTAAACTGTCAATTTCGCAGATGATTATCTAGGCTTAAAAATAGGTGATAGTCAGAAGGGCTAATGTCAGGGAAATAAGGAGAGTGCAAAAGAGGTTCCCATCCAAGGGTCTGAATTGTGTCAGAGGTCACACGCGCAACATGATGTCTATAGCATTATTGTGTAGGAAAAGAACGCCTTTATGGTTCACTAAAGCTGGTGGTTTTTTCAAAAGTGATTGGTGAACTCAATGCAGTTGGTCACTGTAGACATTAGCAGTAATAGTCTGGCCAGATGGTATAAGTTCATAGTGAACAATTCCATTTGCAGTCCACCATATGCACAATATTGGCAGGTGCCAATTGATGAAGTATCCATTTACTGAGCTTGTAAACTTTCCCAAGACAATGCAAATGTAAACGGACAGTTTCATCACTTACGGAGAACCTTTGTGCTAACATCTGACAAGTTTGAACAGAATATTCTTCGATTGCAGCCTGTAATTCAACATCATTCTCATGGCGCATCTTTAAGCGACTCATTGCCGGAAGAAAATTTTGTAAACCATCTTTGGGTGGTGTGAGTGCTAACAGAACCTTGTCCAAAAGCCTGGCATATTTTTTGAGCCATTTGCACAGCACTTGTTCCAAGTTTAAATTCATACAACATACAAGCACGAATTACAGAGTTTGGAGTACTCATCTTCAAGTCAATTTTTATAATATTTAAGAGATAACCTTTCCACTTCTCTTTATATAAGGTGAGTCAGCATTAAATCTTGATTAACATATTGCTGGAATTTTAGTGTCATCTATTGTGTATTGCGTGTAACATTCTTTAAACTTTGTAGTTTCACAAAAAACAACAGAACTTTTTTGGTTACTTAATAATAAACTGTGTAATGTGATATATGTAATGCTTTCTTAAAATTAATTTATAAATCCTTTGATAACTTAGCATTTAGATTCTAAATTTAAATTTAGGAAGAATATTAAAATTCATTTTTTTTACACTAAAACTACTGTTTTCTTCATTGACATACAATATTATTTTAGTTTGATATACAAACTTGTTATTTTCTGTGCCATTTTTGATTTTATTACCAAAAATATTTTGATTATTTTAAGATTTTTTCATAAATTATTAATACAGGAAATTTTTATTTATTTTTTTACCTTTTAATCAATCACTAGACTATTTTAACTAATATGATTTCCAAATTTTTATTTACAAATCATATGCTGTTTATAGGGCCTTATTACTGTCTTGAAAATTAAGTTAGAAACACAAATTTAAAAAGCAAGTGAGTTTAATTTTATGTTTGATGTTAGCTCTTAATTTTTATTCTACACTCATTGAACTTTATACTTTTTTTCTTTTTAATTTTAACTGAAATTTTTGATTTTATTAGGAAATCAACACCTAATATTGAAATGTTCTAAACATGTCCATAGAAAAGTTCAGCATGCTTGCTGCTTAGTCTTCATAATAAACTAAGAGAAGAAAAAACTATGTAAAAGAATTCAGTCTAATTTTTATGAAATTTATGAAAACATAGTTTTATTCAGACCATTTTGTGAATGCATGTCAAAGAAGATTTCTGGATTTTTTAAAAATATCAATAATGAGTTGTTTAACTTTCCTGGCAACGTTTAAAACTGCATGTGTGGTGCCATCTGTTATGATATTTTATTATTAAAACCTTTTTATAATTTTATTTATAAAATGGCAAAAAGCTTAATGTTGAAGATAGGGATGGGTTTTATAAAAAATTGTAAATGCTAATAATGAGTAAAATTGTCATTAAGTCTAATCCTACTGGAGATACACATGACCCCCCTTTATCTCCCTCAAACAGGGTGAACAAAATTGTCCCGCTCCACACTAACATCCATACATACAGAAAAACCCTTGAATTTTTTTCATTTCTTGATGTTTCATGGTCCTGAGTCCAAAAATGTAAAAATCTTAGGGGGGGGTCATTTGTCAGATTGCCATACTTTTCCTCTGTTATATATAACAGCTGAGAAAGTAAAAATGAAGAAACAATGTAAAATACTAATTCATATTTCTCTACATGTAGGATTGAATGATACTGTAAAAGCATTTATAGAAATTATAGAATGCTGTAAAAAATTTTTGTATTTCTATTTATTTTCTTGCGTTATTATCAATAATTTTAACAGATGATAGTAGAATTCTATTTCATTGGCTGTTAATCAGAAAACATTTCTGATTAAATACTTTTGGTAACCTCACTTCAGCAGTTTGTTTTATTTTTGTTATAATAGTGCTAAGTTTCATGGACTTTCATGAAAATTGAAGAACATGTAGAAGATACATTTAAAGTGGTATTGAGCAATAAACTATATGAGCACCAGATTTTTTAAATAGCATTTATATTAATTGCAATCTTGTTTTATTAATATTTTATCACTAATTTACTTATTTAGTTGAAAAATAATTGGATTTTCTACATTGTTATCTGTTAAATTTAGTTATACATGTCATAGTGTATAAAGCAACTGTTTGTTTGTAACCATATTAATTTCTTGGTGATCAGAAAACAATGGTTTAAGCAAATATTTTATATAGTGAATTATGTTTTTAGATACTAGTTGAGTGTATTAAGTTAATGTTGTAAGACATTATAACTTTTTCCCATTTAAAATAATAGAAAAAAGTTTCTGGTTAATGTTTCACACAGAATATATAGTTTTAGGAAGGGATTACTGATATTAAATGGAGTATATCTGTATATATTAAAACCTATAAATAAATTTCCTTTATTAGTTTAATAAAGATTTGAATAGTAACAGTTTATAACAAATGAAAAACTTTTAATTTAAAATTTATTTATTTTTAGAATGCTCCACAAGAAATGAAGTTGAAACTGTCAGTAAATCATTTGCTAAAACACAAATTACTCCACCTGTGGATTTGCTTGCCAAAGAGGATAAAGACTCAGATCTCTCAGATTTCTGTTTAAAACCCCCACCAGGTCTCACAGATGATGAAATGAAGAAGTTTCAAGAAGAACAAGATGCAGTAAGTTTTTTTAAATGTTATCAATTTGTATTTTTTTTGTTAATAAAATAAAACAAAAAAGAAGTTAAGTTTAATTTACTAAAATGCAAATTAACTAAAAAACTTGTAAGAACCTAATTTTGGTGCAAACTTAATTCAAAAAAGTTATATGAAGATGAAATGATTTAAAGCAATTTAGTGTCATTGTCTTATTTTAAATATTAAATCTTGGTAAGTGTAATATATGTATGTAGTTGTGTGCTATGTAAGATAATTATATATTTATATAGACAGATAATTATTCTGTAGAAATATATTAAAATTCAGAGGTACATTTTCAATGAATGCATAATTAATTCATCAGTTAAACAACAGTTTTTGACTTACATTTTAATTTAAAAATTTTTCTACATAAAAACATAACATAAATAAAATAAATTTTAAATTGAATGAAATTTGTTATTGCAAAATTTGCATTGCTATAAGTGAAAATAGTCTGTTACTGTCATTTCATTTCCAGTTCCAAAGAATTCTTAAGTTCTTTCAAATTTATATACAATTTTAGAAAACTATATGAATATGAATCCCCATAAAATATACTAAGACTGAGCCATAATAAGGCAAAATATTCCAATGTAAGAGATCAGACATCATTTAGATCAACAAACGAAACAAAATCACATATGTCATAGACATAGCTGTTCCAAATACCCACAACATAAAAAATACACTGAAAAAATTACCAGTATTAAATGCTTTATTTCATGAGTGAGTTCCATCTGTTGAGAATGAATATGGTAAGTACTTATTATTTATCATGCCTGCAGTTCTTACTTGTACAGGTCATACCATATACTCTACATATGTATAAAAACATTAGAACTTTACAACAGCACATCACATTAATACTAGACTCATGACATATAGGAAATTCCTAAATACAGATATATATATGAACAGAATATAACCACAGTAACAAGTTTTCTGTATCTATGTCTTGATCTTGATGCAGCATAGCTCTGCACACTGGTATTAACTGACAGGATGGAATTCAAATACACAACAGACCACAGTCCAACAGAATTGGAATGTGGTCTGTGTGGTTTTGCCAAGAATACTATGTTAAGAAAGTTGCACATAGACTACAATATTCAAAGTTCCTATTTACTGTAGAGAATTAACATGTACTAAAATTGATTCAGTAAGCTAATAGGCTTCTAACTAGCTTACTGAAAGTACTTACATAAAAAGTAGAAATTACTTGAAATTTACTAGCTTTTGAGATAAAAGTTTAATTATTTGTGTCTAACATTAATTAAAATAAAGATTGACATACAGAAAAAGAAATGACACGAGATATAAAAATGTGTCTTTGATAGTTTCCAGAAAATTTGAATGATAGATGAATTTACATAATGAGTAAAACTTTTTACAATTATTAAAGGTATTTTTCAAAAAATTTAGATACAAAAAAATGTTGGATGACCTCATAATTGCTAAAATCATCAGATAATTACCAGCAGCAATATATAACTTATATTCTCTTTCAAATTGAGTATAAAACACATATAACCCATAGGTTATTTGTGGGAAATTTTGGCAAACAAATTTATACAGAAATATCAATGCAATTTTATCAACTGAGAAAATTTAAATAAAAATTTTTAGTTTTTATTCAAAAATGATTGTTACTAGTAATTTTAAATTTAAATTTTTTATTTTCAATACCTTCTTTAAAAATTTTGATTTTGTAGGGATGCTACTGTTTAAATATCTATTTTTTTAAGTTCAAATATATTTTAAAATTAATAACAAAAATGTATAATTTTTCACATAGGAATTGGCCAGGCTTTTGCAAGAACAAGAAACAAAAGTAAGTACTTGCTTTTTGAACCAACGTAATAATTATAGATGTTATTGACTTACATATATTTAATTGTTAATGTTTTTGTCAATGTGGTCTAATAAGGACAAAACTTAATTATTTTCAATGGAAAGTAATTTTAACAAAGTTGTAAACGTATGTAAAAATAATTTATGGTGATTTTTTATTCTTGTCTCTAAAAAAGTTGGTTTGAATTAAATTCAGATCATTTTATCTTCTGTTAAATGAAAGAGTGACATGATTTTTCATTAATATAATCATTTTTTAACACACTAATGCAATTACAGTAGAGCATTGATTATCCAAAACAACAGTTCGGGACTGGGGTTGTTCGGATAATCGATTTTTTGGATAACTGATTAATATATTTTTTTGTACATAATCTATCCCATGTTGAAATTCGTTCAAATCCTGGTGCGTCCTTAAGTACACGCTCATGGTCGCATCAGTGCTACCAGCTAAAACACGCACACCAACAAAAATAATATTGGAGTAGCCCAAGACATAGCCAAATATTGCAGCGCCATAGCACTAGCAGAAATTTAAATTTGCCAACTGGAACGCTTTCAGTTGATCAATATTTGGATAATCGATGCTCTACTGTACTGTACTTTATTTTTAAATATGAAGATTTTTTAAAATAAGGAAAACATTATTATTAAATTCAGAAAATGATGTAGGTTTTAAGTAGAGATAATGCACCTAAAAATTTCTTTAGGTAATTATTATTTTCTGGTTTAAAAACAGTTTTAAGCTTATCAGTTTTAATTTAATAGTATACAAAATTTTTATAGTAATTATTTGTACCACAATATTTAAAAAAACTAACATGTGCTTAAATCCTTGTAACACGACTCTATGTATTAGATCAACAGTACTTACTTGTAACACAATTGGGTGCAGGAAAGATCTTTAACTTGGAAAATGGTTTGGAAAAACATATTTTCAGTTAAAAATCTTTTCTGGACCCCTTTGTGTTGCAAGTGAGTAAATGTTACTTTTAAAAAATAAAGCTTTATAAGTCCAACTAGTATGTCACAATGTTTAATTTTTTTGATTCAGAGAAATCATACATTTAATTCCTAATAAAAAGTTAAGTATTATAGTAGTAATAAAAAATACAATGATACTCACTCATTTGAAATTCATATATACCAACAATAAAGTTGAATCTAATTTTAAGTATTTTTAAATACAGTGTAACCTCCATTAACAGACACTCCCACATAGTGGACACCTCTACTTAATGGAATTTTTACAATTCCTAGACCTTCCAAATAGAGCATCTATAATATTTACCTCTAAATAATAGACACCATCATCCATAATCTACCTTATGAAAACACAAAGTCCCGCCTTCAATATTCTGAAAGAATTTATTACATAGAAAATATTTTATAAAATTAAAACAAAGAATCAGTTCAAATAAACTTCATAGGATGAATTTTGACTGTAGGTGCCAAACAAAGATTGACTTAAAATAGGAATAGGGGAGGAGGGCAGGTTATAAAAAGTTAAATATTTTTTATCTGTTAGAGAAGACTAATCTGGTTAAGTTGTCAATTACCATTCATCATCACACATATTAATGCTATTAAACTTCTGTCTTATTGTTGGAATTAAGCTTATAAATGCTATTGTCTTAACCTTAAAGCTGTTTCTTTTTCATAACTACTGTGCTATGGTTCTTGTTGAATGAATGAATAACTTTGAGAAAGTTTATGGTTTCTTGGTACCATAAGCTTAACTCCAATAATAAGTTTGGAATTACCAAGCTTTCACCAATTGGAAATTAATTTCCAATTGGCAAAAGTTTAAAGAGTTCAAAGATTGTAATTATGAAGACAATTTGCTGACCACTTTAAAGGGTAGGAAGATATAGTTTTCTTGCATATATGACATCATTTATGATCTTAACAGCTTTGTGGTAGCTAAAGTTATTTTTAATAAGTCATTTATTGAAAAAAACAAAAATGTTTGAAAAATGACACCTATTTGATAACTACAAAATAGACAAATCACTATATTGATTTTTATTAGTTGCTTAGATTGTAAATGACATTATAAATGCAAGAATACCAAATACATTTCTTACCCCTTGAAGTGGCTAGCAAATCATCTTTGTAACTCAACATTCAAACTCTCGTCACCTAAACAGACCTTCGTTCATACTTCTGTTCATAATAACAGTTTCAGTTTTCTTTTTTGTTACTTCCACTCAGGTCATTTTTGATGAATTAATAATTAATGTGATTTCTACAGCTGAAAATGAAAAGATAAATAATATACTTAGTATATATAATTAAAATATATATAATGTACACTTTTTGGTATTTTCACATTCCTAACACAAATTTGATGTGTTTGCAATTCAGTGTATTCTTCACTTTAGAATGACCAGGTTAAAATACAATATGGCTGCCAGCATGTACCTTCAAATAGCGGACAAACTTCTTAGTCTTGATGGTCTCTGCTATTTGGAGATTATATAAAAAGATAATTCAAACAATTAGATAAGATTATGTATGAAATAGTTATGTATAAATTGAAGAGATATTTATCACAATAAATTTTATAAAACTATGTATATTGAAATAATTTTTCTGACCTACAAAATATTTTTATATAGAGACGTGGCCCAAATTTTAAAGACAGACAGCTTGCTATTGAAGCACAAGATAGAGAATTAGCAAGAGTGTTACAAGAGCAAGAAAGAGCAAAAGCAAAGAAAGCCAGGGAGAAGGCCCGACAAAAAGCAATGTTACAGCAACAGCAACAACAGCAAGAGATGGTAAGCACAAATGAAATAAAAATTTAATAATTTTTTTACTAATTATGGATTGATGATTTTACTTTTATAGGAAACAATTGAAGAAGTTAGCAGCACTTCTCCAGATTCGAAAGATGGACTTGATCATCCAAATTTAGACCATAGACTTCATCAGGAAATGGATAGGAGGTATTATGAAAATTATTTATATTTAAATGTGCATAATATCATGATAGTGTTCAGAATCATTGTACATAGCTATCACTATACAATGATTTTGTAAATTATGCTAATTAATCATTTTTTCTTAAATTGAACAAATTTTAATTGCATTACATTTAAATATATTATAATCTAGAGTTAAGTTGTATTAATTTACAGTTTGATTTTCCAGAAATTTCAATTTATTATGTTGCAAAATAAAAGTCTGGTTTTTAAAAATTTTCATATTTAAAATAATGATAAGGCATTAAACAATAAATCATTTGATGCCTAATTGCTATATTAAATATAAATTTTGTATGATTGTAGTAGGAAAAAAAGTATAGTCATTATCGTATTCATGAACAAAATGACTGACTAAGCTATATAAGTCTGCAAGATTGTAAATATTTGGTTTTTCTAAAATGCATGTTTTTGTGAAACTTTTCTAATATCTGTAATATATCATTATATTATGTTTCCTTTACTAATTTAATAATTATGTGAAGTGCAAATATAAGCAATAATAATTATTTGATGTTTACATATTTATAAATGTAAACATCAAATAATTGTCATTTTTTATTTACATTTCTTATTTAGTTCTGTCATTTAATTTGTCTGTGTTTTTTACTGTTAATTATACAAGAGTTTTCTGTATCCTCCTATCTGATTAAGTGGGATAAATTTTCATATAAAGTCTACATATCTGAATCCTTTTAGAAATGCTTTTCTCTAGGTTCTAGCTTACCCTTAGTAAACAAATTTAATGTATTCTCTTTAATTTTTTTGCACGATTTATCATTCAACAAGTAAAGAAATACACTACAGTCCAGTCTATTAAAAAGTTATTTATACCGAATTAGAAACTATTACATATTATATATATAAAATTATATTATAAACTTAAATTTGCTGGATATATATTGCTTAATATGTAAGATGTTACATAATAAGAGAGAAAACACTAGGCTGAAAAAATTTACAATCAAAAAATAATTTAAGACAGCATTTGAAAGCTGCAAATTTAAAGCTCATAATATGATAAAAATGAACTGAGTTATGAGAATATAATTTAGAATATTTTAAGTTAAATGTTCTTTTTTAATTAAGAAGTTTTCTTCATTTGTTAAATAATAAACAAATAAATTTCATAAAATACTATTTGCTTTTTGATATGTAACAACAATCAACCTTGCTTGCATAATTATGTAAATAATTTAATGTTTCTTGGAAAGTTGCTTTACAAACTAATAAGAAAAAAATTAAGCATTTTCATTTTTCCAATAATTACTTCTTATACTATTTTTTATTAGTATTACCTTGTATGCTTTGTTTAATTATGTTTTTCAACACTGTTGTGGAAGTGAAGATTGACTAATTTTGTAATGTGATTTTCTGATAGAAATTTCCAAGTTTTTATTTGGATATATATGTACACAACAGTAGAAGATGGAACAGTAATCTAATTGTTATAGCTGATTAATTTAATAAGGCAAATTTGTTGTCTGTCACACATTATTAGAGTGTACATTATTGCTTAGAGAGCTGTATAATATAATAAAAACTAATTGTTAAATTAAATAGTTATCTTTAAATAATTTATTAAAATTATTTAAGATAACTATTTAATTTCTTATTTTTATTGGTTAGACATTAATCATTAATGTTCACTTTTGCTTTCTTATGACTTCATAATAATTAAGGATAAACAAAGTTTTTTAAAACATAAAAACATATTTAAAAAATAATTTTATAAATTCATGATTACCTAGTGTTTAATTTTATCTTAAAATATAGCTTTTAAATTTGATTTGTAAAATAATTCTACAAATATATAATTACTAAGAAAACAAGATTATATCATTTAAATTATAAAACAAGAAAATAATTGATAAATTAAGTTATATAATAAGAAAACATTGTTTTTAAAATACTAATTATTCATTGAATTGAATTGTTAGATACAAAGAGCAAAAATTATAAAGCAAACAGAAGTTTCAGTGCCTAAAAATTAGTACATTTGTTTTTATTACCTATCAAGACAGTAAATAAATATTAAGTAAATACTATATATTTACATATAATGCATCTAAACATCTATATTGTAGCTTTATTGATGATGATGATGAAGCATCCACTTCTGGATTACCAAATAAAGCTGTTCATAACATTGCCATGGTAATTGATCCAACATATAATCGTCAGAAAGCACAAAGTCTTGGAAGTCCTCAGAATTCATTATGTAATACTCCCACATCATCACCAAATAGGGCTGTTCCCCAGTGTCCAGGTATTAAATTATATTTTTTTATTTTTATTTTCTGATTAGTTAGAGTTCTAATAAGATGAAATTTAAATACAAATTTAAGGAGAAAGTATTGACTACTAAAAAACAATAACAAATCAGAGATAGAAGGATACAATATAGCCTTTATTATAGGTTTTATTTAATGGCTGTATATGGTAATGAGTTTGTCAGTTTTATTTTATTTATTTTACTTATTTCTAAGATTACAGACAATACCTTTCAAATGTTCATGAATATAATCACAATTAACAATTTTGTAATATTTTAAAGAAATAATTTTGTAATAACTAATTTATTGTAATTTCAGACATAAAAACTTAAATTCAAGTATATGCAATATAAACAAATATTAATTATTAAAGCATCTTGGCTGAAAATTTTGAGAAAAATGCAAAAGTTTTTAATTAAAATTTTATGTTCAAAGTAACTGTTTAAAAATTTAGAATTGTATATTAAAATTAAATTCTTTAAAGTTTATTTTTTAAAAATAATTACTATTTTGGCTTTTAATATCTAATAATTTTGTGAGAGAAATATAAAATTACAAAGAGGAAACAGTTGTAAGTGCAATAATTAGTTAATTGCTACCTACCTAATATTTGGATTATTGGTTAACAAAATTATTTTGTGAGCACAAAATTGTTTTTATGTTCTAAACAAATTTTTAAAATGAACAATGTGTCTCATATTGTTTACAAAATATTTTCATTGCACTTTCATTTATTAAATCTTTGAAAATATCAAAGTTCTTTTTAAGAATTATAAGAAAACTAAAATAATATATATATGCAATATGATGATCTAAATTTTAAGAAGTTTTTATATATTCTCTTTGTTAATTAATTAATTAACAAATATAGTCCCTAGCAAAAAGTATTTGAATATGAATAACATATACTGCAATTTACCATTAGATCGTGTTTATTTAAATGAAAATAAAAAAAACAAATATCATCAGTGGATACATAATTAATAAATAAATATTGTATGTGTGTGTGTGTGTGTATTCACACACACTAAAGATTATTTTTAATTACAAACTGTGAATGGTGCACAAAGAAAAAGGAAAAATTAAACTGAAAGGTAAAGTATCTCATTAGATCATCTCCATAACAATGCAAATTCTACTTGCATTAAAGAATACAACTTTCTTTTAGTTGTCAGTATCCCAACTTGTATGTTTGTGGCCTAATGTAAATGGCATTAGCATTGTTTCTATTATTTTGTCATATATGGAAAATCTCATTTCATTTAATCTGTTGAGAATTGTGTGATCCGATACATGGATCCAATACTTTCCATTCTGCATTCAATTGCTTTGAAGATGCTCTTTTCATTTTCATGCAAATTTTCTTCAGGATGTGATTTTTCATTTCAAATGTTATTTTTGGTTTTAAACTGTATCTCTTGAAATCTTTTTTGTATAATTGACTGTTGAAAGAGAACATACAATAATTTTTGGAATTTCTCTCTGTTTTACCATTTTTAATAATTGAAGAATTTATTTTATCAGTTTAAAACATAAAATGTTTTAAACTGATAAAACATAACATATGATCATATAACACAAACATATGATCATAAAACAAAACATATGATCAGGGTGTAGTATCAGTTTAAAACATAAAATGTTTTAAACTGATACTACACCCTGATCATATGCATAAATACATAAATTGTAATCAATATTTCATGTGGGATGCAAATCATAGAGTATTTCATAGCTTGTTCTAACTTCTTCCAGTGATTTGTATGTTTAAAACTTATTTTCCAGATATTTTAAATTTCAATCTAATTTCCCTTACTTTTTCTTTACTTATCATTTCAAATTTGTGAATAAAAGCATTATTTTTGTGTGTTTGTGTGTATAATGTATCCATTGATATTATTGCTTTTTTTCTCTCTAAATAAATGCAGTTTAATAGTAAACTGCAGTGTTCATGTTCAAATACTTTTTTGCCAATGATTGTATTTTCAAAAAACTTAATAAGTAAGAAAAATATATTATTTGTATACATCAAATTTCTGTTTTTTCTGAACTGTTTAAACTGTACTAATAACTAAAATATAAATTTTCATCTACAATTACATATCTTCTATTATCAGGACTTATTATACTGGCTTTACAGATAATGCTACAAAGTCCTGATAATAGAAGATACATAATTGTAGACGAAAATTTATATTTTAGTAAGACAAGGACATTGAGGCATTTTAAATTGTACTAATAACTATTGATTATATTTATCCAGTGTTATTACTGATATCTTTGTATAGATTGTGTTACCATCAGCAATCAGCATATTCAAAACATTAAATATTTTAATTTTCTTCATTTTTAGAAAATAGTTACCAAACAAAAAATGAAACTGTAATGTATATGAAATATATATTGTTTTTAAATATATTATTTATAACAAAACTTTTTAATGTTTATTAATAAAATAACAACATACACACGTGATTATGGTCATTCTTTCATATAATAATAATTTTTGCTTAATCATCATTTTACCTGCATCATTATAATCTCTTATTTAGTAAATAATGTGGTAAAATAAGTTTTTCAAGTATGAGATTATATTGTATCTAAAATTCAGATGTTTATTTTCCTACAAAGATTAGTTATAATTAACAAATTATTTCTATTATTTATTGTATTTGTTCTTTTATGGTAATTGTTTAGTGGTAGAACATGAAATACTGTGAACAATAATGTGAACAAATTTAATGAAAAATATACATGTAATCTGCTTTTAGTTTGTGGTATAGACTGTCATGCAGTTATACTAGTTAACATTTCCTTACAGAATATTTTGATTTTGTAAACTGAAAACTCCATATTGAAATCAGTTTCTATTTATAATATTTAGAAAGTTTAGAATAAATTTGGCTATATTACTTTACAACATTCCCTTATTAGCATAATTCCAAATTTTGAAGTCCTTTGAATATAGTTTAAGGAATATTTCATTTACCGATTATTGTAAAATCAGTTGAACAGTTCTTCTATTCTTACAATTAATGTGTTTATGATTTAAAAGAAAGTTTAAAAAGAAATGAATATTATGAGTATAAAGTGATTAGCTAAACAAGCACTCCAGTTTTCAACAAGCCAGAAAACATCCAAAAAATCTAATTACAGTTTAGAGACATGTTTAAAAATGAATTGCAATTTAAAAAGTTCTTATTTAAGTAATGTTCTACACATTCAAATGGAGTAACTTGTTTGGAATGCTGCAATTTGAACATTCATTAAACTGTAAAGGTCTGGCAATGGAATGATGAACATACTGAAAACATTAACCATTCATTTAATAAATAATATATTCTGGCTTCTTAACTCAAGTGCTTGTTTAGCTAATCACTTTATCCTCATGGAGCCAATGTATTCTCAGAATCATTAATATAATATATATACTGTAATACTAAAAATAGGTCTCTCTTGTAATTCTTAAAATTAATTTGATAAAGTATAATGTAAATAGTTTCATTAACTTTTGCTATTTTTTAATATTTTTTTAAATTTTAGGCGATTCTTTAATTAACTGTGGTGTTAATAATGGATATTTTGAGTGTGGTGAAGAAGAAGAATGTGAAGGAGCAGTTCCACCTTATATGCCCATTCAAGGACAACGTAGGACATCATCTTTAGATAAAGCAAAGAAAAAGAAAAAAGAAAAAGATGGTTGTAAGACTCAGTAACATATTTGATTATGGTTACGTTTGAAAAAATATTTTTTCAATAGTTCATTATGTGAAAGAAAATTTTAAAAACCTAGTCAAAAAAAATTTTCTTCTCTTTGTTTGAAAATTATCCAAATAAGTGAAATTTGTTGACCAGATGATAAAATCCATCATTGTTTTATTATTATTATTATNCAAAGAGAAGACCAATAAGTTATTATTATTATTATTATTATTATTATAAATATATAAATAAGTATATTATATATTATGCATATTACTGTAAAAGAATATAACATATATTATGCATTGGAAATGAATCTCCCTTTCCACAATTTTTATAAAAGGTACGTCCATATGTTTAAAATATTTAAAAATAGTTTACAGATAACTCAGCAAATGTAAGCTGTAATAAGTCATAGCATATCAAAATGAAATCCATTAAATGTAATTTTTAAATATTGAAATTTACATCATATTTTGAAAATATTTAAGGGAAAAAAAATAGTTTTATTTTTAATACTTTGACTTTTACTTTCCTGATGACAGTTAGAAGTAAAAAAAAAAAAAAAATAGTAATATATCATCCCTAACTGTATTTATTAATAGGAAAAGATTGTCTTATAATGGAAAATGAGAAATTCCACATTTTTAAAATTATTGTATATTGAAATAGATCTTACATATCTTTGTGGATGTTTCTATGTTTTGATGATATCGCATTCACATTATTGATATTTTTTCTATCTGCCAATTCATTTAAAATAAAAATGATAATACTGGGCTGTAAAATTAGTCAAAACTCAGAGAAACATACTCACAGGCTGTCAATTAAAATTTATATTTTTGAACAGATTGATAGAAAATTTAAATAATCCTAATCCTTTTAAATATTTAACAATAAAATTTGATATTATTTTCCAATAATACAACACAAGCAAACAAGAAGTAAAGATATACAAGTGGAATAAAATGTTAGCAAGCGTTAAATTAACAATAAACTATTTTCTTATGATGAAAATATTTTGGTAAAACTCGGCACTCAAAGTAGAGATTATTCAAGCATCATTAATGTTTTATGATAGGCTCAGTTTATAACTTTTTCATTCAGCTACACAGATTTGTTTTTTTTTTTTTTTCTTTTCTAATTTATATATTTTAAGAGTAGGCAGCTCTAATCCGAATAAATAGTATCATTTAAGGCAGTTAAAAATTTGTAATTTTACTCATTTTTTTGTATCATACTCATTACAAAAGTCACTATTATATATTATATTATTTAAATTATCTTCGTTATTTTTAATAAATTGATTTAATGATGATAAGATTCCATTTATCCATTGTTATGGTATAACTCATACTTTTTTTAGATCAGATTGCTTAGATATTTGGTCTAGATCTGAAGTGTCAAAGTAAATTAGGATCGATCATCTATAATTTATGTTTTTATTATTTTTACAATTTACTGCTGGACTGATAAATTAAACTAAATTAAGTAAAAAATGGAAACTAGACTTTGCCTTAATTTTTTTTTGTATGTAATTCCTTAGCAATAATTTTCTTTTTTATCAAAAGAAACATATATGCAATTATTTGTTAATTTTTTATAATTTTACAGGTCAGTATTTTTAGATAATAGATTTTTCCCTGTTTTAAATTGTTCCAATTTTTAAATACTTTATATAAGAAAAAAAAATCAAATTATTTTTAATTGTAAATTNTAAAACTGTCTTTTCAATTAAAAATGAAGGAAAAAAAAAAAGTTGTTTGCTGTCTGATTTTTTTCTTTTACATTTCATCAGCAATTCATGCACATTTTTTCATTATTAATGGGGAGGAATGGCAAAAGTAGTTGGCTAAGGAGGAGAAGATCAGCTCTACTTGTTTAGACTACTACCAAAAAATTAATTGTTAAACAAGACTTTTTATTTGCAGTGTATTTTCTAAACTACAAGTGTCATAGAATGTAATAGGCACTTTTCCAGAACATTTTACCAGTATAAACTTTTAAGACTCACAAGTTAGTGCTGTATGCCACTGTGTAGTCTAAAAAGTAACTACAGTATATTTTGGACTTCGTGTTTGATTATACAGTATTTTACATTCTTAAACCTAAACACCTATTACTGTTATATCTTATTACTGTAGTACAGTACTTTAACGCAATGAAAGCAAAATATGATTTAGTATAACGGTTCTTCTGTTCTATAAACTTTCTTGAGGGTTCGGATAATATCTAACTTTTGGGATAATCTTTTAAAAGGAAATTTTTTCCGGGAGTACCCAGAACTAAAGAACAGTAAAATTTTCCTACTTTAAATGATTTTATTTTTACAGTGTGTGTTACTGTATATAATGGGAAAAAATATATTTAAAATGTGTTAAAATCATAGATTAAATTAAACAGAAAACAGACAGTAAAAAAAATTTTTTCACAAATGATTTTGCTCTTGCCGAAATGCAAAATTTAGTTGAAAATTTATGAGACAGTCTGGATTCGGCATTTAAAAAAGGGGGGATTAGTATGTATCGTTTTTTATTTTTGACTCTGTCCAGTGAGCACTTAGGGGGTTTTTTAATCATGCTCATTACGGGTTCGGCCCGATCCAAATGGGTTGACGAGGAAAGGGCACGACACATCAATGATCTCTGGGATTGCTCGCCCGAATTTGATTCCGGATCTTCACAGTGAATTTGAATTCCTCGGGAGTTTCTCGAGGATGATCTATCCCAGTGTATGCGGCTTGTTCATCTGTTAGCCCTGATTGTTGAACAAGCAGAGTACATCAGGACAAATCAAATCAGGACAAACCTTTGGGTTAGATACATAGTGAAACACAGTGCTTGTTTTCTTTCTGTATAATGAATCACAGCTTTCTGCCATACAAAACTTCAAAAAATACCTGTTGTGTGGACGGTTGTAATGTTACATATATTACTGCGTCGCCAGGTACAAAGTTTTATTCGTTTCTGAATGAAAAATACCCTGGAAGGAAAGAGAAATGGCTGGCTGCAATTCGGCAGATTGAGTAAGTATTATGCTTGGGTATTTTTATTGAAGGTATTTTTTTAAAGTTGTGTGTGTGTGATATTTAAAGGCATTGTATTGTAATGATCTCTGTAAATGGCTAGGGTGCTTTTTAAATAGGTGTAGTCCACTTTACATAGTTTGTTTATTGTACACTTTACTTATTGTTTACATAGTGCATTGAGTAATAACTTATTAAAAATACCAAAACATTTCGTGTTTCTGTAAATCTAAAATCCTGATAACAAAATTTAAAAAATGCTTAATGATGTCGTTATTAGCCAGGGACAGTATTAAAGAACATTTCAAGTAATTTATTAGTCAAAAAGTGACCAAAGTTGCTTGATAATTGTAATGTAATATAATATGTAAAATTAAAAACATTTTTTTCAGAAAGGATGGCAAACCTTGGCAACCCACAAAGTACAGCAAAGTCTGCAGTCAGCATTTTGTAGGTGGATGGAAAATTGACCACCCTGACCATCCAGCATACGTTCCCACACTTTTTCCAACATGCTACAAGAAACAGGGTTGTGGAAATGCTGATAGGTTTTTAAGGCAGGCAAGAAGCAATGTTGCCAGATCTGAAGGTTAAAAAGTAGCGTGGTTGTGCTCCAAAAGTAGCTGATTTGAACTGTTTGTAGCCCAAGCAATAAAAATGAATTATTTTCCAACTATGCACTTTTACTAATGAAATAAGTTTGTAATATATATATATATATATATATATATATGGGGGCATCCGGTGTATCTGCATCAATTTTCTCTAAATCAAAGTGTGTCATTTTTTTTAAACTCTTTCCTCTCTGTGGGCACTAAGAGGGCCTCTTTTTTGCAAGCCCATTATGGGTACTACCAGGCCCACAAATGGGGTGACCGGGTGGTGAGGGATGGGAGGGCCTGACACATCCGGACGGACCCTCCCAAAAAATTCTGGGATTATTCAACCCGTCCGCATTCGATCCCGGGTCCGGGTAGGCTGCCATCTTGACCGATCGGCCATCTGGCCAAGCGAGTCATTTGCAGGCGAGGCGATTTATTTTTTGAACTTAGAGGCTTAGCGAGTGCGGCTTTTGTTTTCAGTTTTAAGGCCTCCCTGTTTCCATTGTATCAAGAACTGTTGTATCAAAATTTAATAACTTTTGGATCACTTATTAGGAGATAAAATTGGCAATTCCAACAGAATAATGCTGCCATTCATGCATCAAAGTCAACTAAAAATTGGTAGTAGTGCGAATTCAAGAAATGTCTAGGGTTGCCAGATCTAAAGTTACTAAAATGTAACAAGTTCGATACTCGTTTAATACTTTTTAGTACTAAAACAAGAATTAAACGAGTATCGAACATGTTACGTTTTAGTAAAACAATATCATCACAAATAGAAATATTGAACAAACAGAACTTTAAGTAAAATAAAAAAATATAAAAACATGGCTGACGGTAATACATTTAATTTCATTAAACTTAATTGTATAAATACAGTAGAGCGTCGTTTATCCGAAAGCATTTCAGTCGGCAAATTTAAATTTTCGCTAGTGCTGTGGCGCTGCAATCTTTGACTATATCTTGGGCTACTCCAATATATATATATTTTTTTGGTGTGTGTGTTTTAGCTGGCAGCACTGGCACTTTTCTGTGTTGTTTTTCTGAGGATTGTGTGCCATGCTGAATCGAACGTTTTTGATACTAGATCAACTTCTAAAGTATATATTTTTTTGGTTTTTTATATTTTTCAATAAATTTATTTTGTTTGTACAAAATAAAAAAATAATTTTTAGCGATACAATAGCCACGATTATTATTTTAAAAAGTTTACGTTAGGCTTAACATCGACGAAAATTCAACGCGAAACGACACGCAACGGAGAAAAATTTCAACGTGGGATAGGTTAGTTTATTTTTTCGTACATACTCGGTTATCCGAAAAATAAGTTATCCGAACAACTTCAGTACCCAATTAATTCGGATAAACGACGCTCTACTGTATTTATTTTTTATAAAATACAAGGGAAGCGGCGTTT